CCCGTCTTTCCTCCTGCTCTGCGTTGGTCCCTCTGCCTTGGCCTATTCCCTCTTTTTTTTTTTTTGTTTTCTGCCTTTATCTTTTGTTCTTCTGCCCTCTCCTCCAGTCTTGCGCTTTCCTCTCTTTGCTCGTCTTCCCTCTCGTCTCCCTTGCAGGCCCTCGCCCGCACCCATGCCCCCAGCCTCGTATAGCGCGCACCCGCGCGCCACGTGACCAGGCCCTTCCCCGTATAGCTCCCTCTCCATGTAAATACGCATCGAACTCGCAACTACTCCACGCTTTTCTTCCACGCCCCACGCACATGTCCCCGGGCCAAGAGCAGGAGCAGCTTTTTGCGGACGCGTCCACGCTCCTCATGTTTGCGTCCGCGGCCGCCCGCCAGAGCCTGCCCCCCGAAACCGCAGCCGCCGAGCCCGGCCTGGCCGCGGCTAGACACCCCTACCCGCCGGCTCTGAACCCCGAGCAAACAGCACACAGTCACGCCGCCGCGCCCCCGGCCGGCCCGCCGCGCGGCCCGCGTGCCCCGGGCCGCCCGCTGCTGCAAATCCCGCCGCTTTTGCGGCCCTCCCACACGCTGCCGCCGTACGCCCCTGGCGGCTACGCGGGCCCCGCCGCCAGCACGCTTGTGCCGCTGCGCCGGCCGCCGCAGAACGTGCTCCCGCCGCTCAAGCCGCTCGCCATGGCCCGCGCCGCGCCGCCCGGCTTTGCGTACGCGCCCGGGCCCAGCGGCGCCGCCGCATGCCCGCCGCCCGGGCCCATCATGGCCCACCCGGGCTACGGCTACTACGGGCTCGAGGCCGCGCCGCTCCCGCGCATCTACGGCGGGCCGTACCCAGTGCCGCGGCGCCCCAGCGTGGCCCCGAGCGCCGAGCCCGCCGCCCCGTCGGGCCGCCCCGCGGGGCTGCGCCGGGCCCAAAGCTCCAGCCCCCCAGAGCCCGCGCACGCCGAGCTCCCGGCACGGCCCCAGGACACGCCCGGCGGCACGCACAAACGCACGCTCTCGGAGTCCAGCACGCGGCGGCCCCCCGCCACGTCTCCGGCCGCGTCTCCCGGCGTCGGGCCGTACGCGCGCGGCATCAACGTGGAGTCCGGCCAGCGCAGCGCGGACAACGCCATGATCGCCGCGGCCGCGTTGGCCGCGGCCGCCGACATGCCGCTCCCGTTGAAGAGCAAGGACGGCGGCGCGCGGCCCGCGCTCTCCGTCGACACGGCCGCGCTTGGGCCGGCCCCACGCGAAGGGCTGGCCCCGAAGCTAGCGCCGGATACCGACGACGAGAACAAAACGGAGGACGAGCTTGCCTCTTCCGCGGTGCACGAGGCCTTCGGCGCAGCGGTCCTCCCGCCGGCAGTGGCGCTGAGAAATGCCCGACCGGAGGAGAAGCAGGCGCCGGCAGAAGCCCGACAGGGAGAAACGCAGGCGGCAAATGTGCCACAGGAGGAGAAGCAGGCACCGGCAGAATCCCGACAGGGGGAAACGCAGGCGCCGGCAAACGCCCCCCTGGTAGAGAAGCAGGCACCTGCACACGCCCCACGGGAGGAAAAACAACCGCCGCCGCCGGCCGTCAAGCCCGAGCCGGTGCCGGCCGGCGTGCCCCCTCCTCTTGCGTCGTACAAGGTGGATCCGGACGCCGGTACTATCGGGTGTATCTGTGGCATCGACGAAGACGACGGATTCACCATCCAGTGCGACGTGTGCTTCCGCTGGCAGCACTGCTCTTGCATGGGCTATCTCACCAACAAGGAGGTGCCTGAGGACGAGTACAAGTGCTACTACTGCGATGAGCTGAAGTGGAACAAGATCGACCCGGCCCTGTGCCGCGCCGCCACCATTGCTCGGCTCGACATGGACAAGCACAACGACGTGGCCGAGAAGCCGGCCCCCCCTAAGCGCAAGACGCTGAGCTCCGGCAACGACGACAAGAAACGCCGCAGGCTGGACAAGGATGCGAGGCCGCCCACGGAGAAGCCTCCCATCGAGAAGCGCAAGTCCCTGACCGCCGCGTCGCCTACGTTGAAGCCGGCGCCTTTGTTCGAAATTCACAACAAAGACAACCCCCTTCTCGAAGACGGCGCCACGGCTGAGCCCTTCCAGAGCGTGTACTACCGGCTCAAAGAAAATGATTACAAGACCCCGGAGGTTAGGAGCGCCATCACACACGTGGGCGCTCGCTGCGACAAGCCTGCCAAAAAGCCTCAGTTCTGCGAGACAATGTCTATAAGCCAGTTCAAGGCCCTCAAGTTCAGCAAGGTCAGCTTGCCCAACCACCAAAAGTTTTTGCAAGAGAGGAACGAGCTCCGACGGAGCAAGGGCGGGAACAAAACCACCGTGCGAATGAAGTCCTACAGCGATAACCCAAAGCAGAAGTTTGTTTCAGTCGTGAAGACAGGGCTTTTCATCTCGGAAAATTCTGCTCCGGCCACGGGGGAGGCGGTGATTCCCGCTGGTACCGTGGTCATCGAGTACCTCGGAGAAATCGACTCGTGGGACCTGCACGTGAACAACAAGATTAACCAATACCCTCTTTGGGGCACACTCAAACCGAAAGTTGCAAAGGTGAGGCTCTCAAGCTCCGAGACCGATGGCGTTGATCTTGTCGTTGACTCCAGGTTTGTCGGCAACGAAGCGAGGTTTATCAGGAGATCGTGTGCCACCACTGCAAACTGCGCCATCCAACCAGTTTACATTCCCTAGCTCCAGACGTTCAGGTTCTTGGTGGTCACGACCCAAGCGATCCATTTAAAGGGGGAGAACTTGGAAGAAGAATTGAGACTCCCCTGGGAATGGGACCCTTCGCATCCCATCAATGACATGATTCGCTCGAACGAGGATGGTACCTGGGAGGAAGGAAAAAGGTTTGAAGACTTCACAGAGGAAGAAAAGGCATATCTCATCTCTTGCGTCGACACTATTCTCAACTTTGTTGAATGCGCGTGCAACACTAGCAGCATCAACAATCAGTGTGCGATTTTCAAGGTCAAAAAAGCAACCTCTTACCTTTTGAGATCAAACCGAAAGGCTTCGAGTCTTGGTGGTAGCGGAGCTGGTAAATCAAAAGAGGAGCTAGTATTACCGAAGAAGGTAAAGGAGTATGTTTCCTGGAAGCGCAGGCTCATTGACCGAGATTATGTATTGCTCGAGGAAAGCCCATACGCAGAAAGCCAACTCCCAAGTCAGAATGAGGCAGAGGATCTTCTGGATTTGGGCGTCATTGATGCAGATGCAGAGAACACCAAAGACGGAGTGAATGTGAATGGAATTAGGCTTTTCGGAAAAACTTTCCGCAAGAATTTCTTGGAACAAACTCAACTTTCTTTCACAAGCTATCACATTTCATCTGGAGCTTCCGAACCTCTTGGCGCGAACAGCCTTGTCGGCGAGTTTTCTTCAGACATGTTGGCTATCCCTCTCACGAGCGAGGTGCTAGCTAAGATCAAAAGCCAGGTGAATGAGGTCTTTGACCCATGTCCGAAAATACCATCAAGTGTGAGCGTGTTGGCAGACGTGAAGGAGGTCAAGCTTGAAGACCAAACCAAGGAAACTACCGTGGCTGGCCAGGAGATTCCGCCTAACATCACACTTGGAGAGCCTGTAGTGGTTGACAAAAAGCCGCCCGTGGTAAAAAAGTTATCATTCGCTGATTACAAGAAAAAAAAGAAATAGTGGGTAGAAACAAACTATGATGAGGCGCCTGAGTCTTGAGGAATATTAATCAAGTTAAACGATAAATTTTTGACTTCATTTTAAGTATATAGACCACAACCGCAATTCAAACCAGGACCTCGGGAAACGACTTTAATCTCTCCTCAAAAAATCGTCAGCAACGATATTCGACTTGTTGCACATTTGCTGGAAAGTACTGTTGGCCAGATTAAACAAGTTCCAAGGCGTGTCGAACTCCTTGATCTCACCCTTGTCCAAAACAAGAATCCGGTCGTAATTCAAGATTGTCTTCAAACGATGCGCAATACACAATATGGTGCAATCCTTGAACTCCCTTACAATTGTGCTTTGGATCTTGCTGTCTGTCTCATAGTCCACAGAAGAAGTCGCCTCATCCAAAATCAAGATCTTAGAGCCTCTCACCAACGCTCTGGCGAATGAAATAAGTTGCCTCTCTCCCAAAGAGAAGTTGGCACCTTCGTCATCGACTACTCTTTCCAAATGAAATTTGTGCAAATTATCGCTCAGTTGAGCCTGTGCTTGAACCAAGGACAACTTGTTGCTTTCAATCAAGCCAGCTCTCACCAAAGCGGTCCATAACTCTTCCTCCGGACTATCACCGAAAGGGTCCAAATTCCTACGGATGGTGCCTTTGAATAACACCGGATCCTGAGGAATAATCGACAATTTTGAGCGCAAACTGTGAAGACCAAGCTTTGAAATATCGAGCCCGTCTATCTCGATCTTTCCAGACTCCAATTCAGACAACCTATAAAGCGCTGCCATGATGGATGATTTACCTGCACCGGTTCTGCCGCAAACACCGATTTTTTCTGTCGGCTTAATGTCCATGTTCAAGTTTTTCAAAACAAGAGGCAATCCCGGTCTGTAGGCTAAAGACGCATTTTCAAATCTTATCTGACCCATGGTGGGCCACGATTCTTTGGGTGTCGTCTCGGATATGATTGCAGGGGCTTCTTGGGGCAATTTGAAAGCGTATTCACAGATTCTCTCAACAGAGTTAAATTCGTTTTCGACTTGAGTCAACATTCTCACCAAAAGCGACAATTGACCTGCAATTTGCAAGACATATGATAAAAGCAAACCAACAGATGAAGCGGTTATGTCAAAGACACGAAACACACAAAGGAGCGAGATAACAATCGCAAGTATCGTGGCAACAACGTCCAAATGAATAGCCAACCAACGCTGATTTGCAATGGTGATATAGTACGATTCATTCATGCGGTTAATGAGCGTACTGTTTTTGTCAACAAACATGTCTTCCCTCTTGTACGCTTTGATGGTATCCATGCCACTCAAAGTCTCATTGAAATTGTTGTAAACCAAGGATCTTTGTACAGCCTCCAACCGCTTGATCTCTCTTCCAGACGCTTGGTAGAAGTTGGAGATAGAGACAAAGATGGCCACCAAAGCCGGAATGGCAATGGCAAACCAAGGAAGATAGATCACGCACAATATGAGCACACCAACGATGTTCGAAAAAATGTAAACAACCATACGGAGCTGGTTGCCAATCTCATTGTCCAAGGTATCTGTATCCTTAGTGAATCTGTTGATGATTCTGCCCATGGGCGTTGTATCCATGTAAGACATGGGCACACGCAAAACACGCTCGACAGCCTTGATGTTCAAAACAGTAGATGCCTTTATAGTCATGTAGGCGAGAGACAAGAACTGCACTGAAATAAAGACAAAAGCCAACACGGTGAACATGACGTAGAATCCGATGTAGAAGCCGTTACTTTTGCCGGAGAATTTAAGCTCGGTCCAGAATGACAACCAAGTGTTGGTGAACAACTGACAAAAGACTGCAAGAATTGTGAGACACATGATCAAAGGCACAATCGAGTAGTGCTTAAATATTCCCGAACCATACTTCACGTAGTCCCTGATGATGCTAAACGAGATAGCATTCACGGCTCTGGCCTCTTCTATGATCAATCTCCCGTCTTTGTCTTTATTGGCATCATAATCATGATGAGCTGCCTCCTCGTCGATAATTGTGGACTGTCGAGTGACCTGCTTTGCAATGAACTCTTTGTCGGCATCTACTTCATCCAAGTCTTCTTCCTCTTCGTCCTCCTCTTCTGTTTCGGCGTTGTACGCCATCAACTCTCTGAATTCTGGAACACGCAGCTTCAAATCATCCATAAGGCCGACCTCGATGGTACCGTCTCCTTTCAAGAAGACGATACGGTCAGCATCACCAATCAATGACAACTGGTGAGTCGCCAAAATCCTGGTTCTGTTGACCATCAAACCCATAAGACATGAATTGACGATGTGTTTTCCAACTCTGGCATCGACGGCACTCAAAACATCGTCCAACAAGATGATGTCTGTCTCGGCGTACACTGCTCTGGCTAAATTGATACGTGCCTTTTGGCCTCCAGATAAAGTGATTCCTCGTTCGCCAATTTCCGTCTGATCACCCGCCGGAAGAATTTCCAAGTCGCTCTCGAGCGAGCACGCATAAATGACATCTTGGTATTTCTTCTCATCGAGAGGATTGCCAAACAAAATGTTGTCTTTAACTGTGGTGTTTTGGATCCATGGAACACCACAAAGCAAAAGCGAACCCACAATATCGATAGAGCCCTCTTTCCGGCTCATGAATCCTGCGATTGCATTCAAAAGCGATGATTTTCCAGTTCCGATAAGACCAGTAATGGCAATAAACTCGCCTTTCTTAACTTCTAGGTCAATGTTGCGCAACGAGTGGAAAATGGTTGCTTCAAGCAGTTCTGAGGACGAGCTCGATGTTTCCTCGAGCTTGCCCAGCTCTGCAGGCTCCAAATTTTCCTTAGCGGTCGAGGATTTCTCATCAGAAATCGAGGATGAATCGTTGGACTCGGCCTCGGAATTCTCTTTCAGATAGGAATCCCATTTGAACGTGGCATTGGAGATTTTTACCGACAAATCTTTTTTATCCATGTACTCGATCATTTCCGGCCGCACCTCTGTTTTAAGAGCTTCGATGTCCGCTTCTTCAGCGGCCAAAAATCCACCCACTCTTTGGATTCCAATAACAGCATCAGCGGCAGTGCTCAATGCCAATGGAAGCATAAACACCTGCTGGGTCAAGGAGTTAAAAAGAGAAACCGAGGAGAAGATGTCGGCAGGAGACTTCGTAGATCCCAGAGTGGCGTATACAACCAAAAAGGAGGCCATCGACGCGAAAAGTGTCAACGACATCGCCACAGACACAATCATGTTCCGGATCATCTGCATGTTGTAGAT